CTTGCTGTTATTTTGGGATAATATGATCATAAAAGGTAAGAAAATTTTGAGAATAAAATTTGAGATAATGATATAATAAAATTTATGATGTATATAAGTTATGATATTTAAGATAATTTAAAGGTAATATTTTTTATTATATTTTAATATAATTTTATGTATCATTCTCTTTTATTATTTATTTAAAATTTTTAATATTAATTATATTTATTATTTAATAATATATAAAAATTATATAAAAAATTATTTTTATATCAGTAAGAGATTGACTCTATTACTGATTATGATAATATATATATCACTTAATATATAATAATAAATTTTATATTACATCATTTATCTAAATTTATGATTCCTAATTTTCGTCTTACTGTACTACTATTTTTTTTTTTTTTTGTCAGAGGAAAATAAATGGGATCAATAGGGTGTCTTTTAATGTGGATTAGGCCAGGTTTGGTGGGCTAATGTTGAGTTGCCTTGGGCTGACTTTTTGGACCGGATTTGTTTGGGCGACTAGAACTTAAAAGCGGGCTTTCTTGTTGGTTTTTGGTAGAGGAAGGGGTCAACAGGGTTTTTTAATGAGGATTAGGCCAGGTTTGGTGGGCTGATGTCTAGTTGCCTTGGGCTGACCTTTTGGACCGGGTTTGTGGATATGGCTAGAACTTACAAGCAGGCTTTCTTGTTAGCATCTGGTGGAATTTTAGACAATTTGGGTTTACTTTGTAAGCTTTTGAACACCATTGGATCAATTGTTTTACCAGCTTTATCCCGAAGTCCACCTAACTTTATGAGTTTTGTGCTATTTGATCCATTTCTTGTTTCCGTTTTTCCATTTAGTCCTCCATTTGGCAAACTTCTACACATAAGTCCGATTTTGCCATTTTTCTTCAAAATTCCAATCCTCACATCTTTCATTTTTATGATAAAGCCTTGAAATATGAAAATAAATTACATTAAAATAATTTTAAGGAAAATTTTAATTTTTTAATTTATTCATTATATTATTTAAACACATATTTTTTTTGGTAAAAATTTGAGTTATAATAAATGAAAAATTAAAAATAAGAAATAATGACAAGTTTAAAATTAATGAATAATAATAAGATTAAAGAAGAAAAAAATATTTATCTCATTTAGAAGAATTAAAAATGAAAATTAATTTTAGATAAAATTTAAGCAAAAAATATATAAAAATTTTTGGCACAAAGAGAGTATAAGTTGCTCTATAGATTTGTAAACAAACGCCAACAACCTAAATTCGAGTGACCCATTTTGCCATCGACAAACCACCTGTGCTGACCTGCAAACACACGCAAACAACATGGGGCGATTTACCCATTTTGCCAAAAGAATTAAAAATAAGAAAGTAAAAAGATTTGATGAGCGCCTAGTAGATTAGCAAATAACCATTAAAAAATAAAAAAATTGTTGAACAATTTAATCTGCATCAAATTAAACAATCTAAAATATTATAGGAGAGTGGATCGACATTAAGAATTATTCTTTTATTTAATGATTTTTATTTATAATCTAATACAATTAAATTCGTAGAATTAAAACCTTATTAAAAAAACTGTGAATGCACAATGCAGCACAAAGTAAAATTGATCTATACGAAATAGCACACACTAAATTGCATCTTTCAAAACTGCAAATAAAAAAAAAATTGCTTCTTCATTGCAAATATTAATATTTAAATGATTGCAAATAGCACACACAGACAAAGCCTCTATTATTATTGTTATTTTTAAAAAATGACATACATATTTAGTTTGATACTCTTTTTAATACTAATTTTGGTTTAAGTATTAAAATATAATATAAATATAATTGATTTAATTGGTTCTTATATCTTGTATATATAACTGTATTATTAAGTTTATTTATTTTTAATTTTAGGTCAAAAAATAATAATTTTTTAATGAACATATAAAATAGAGATATACCAATCATTATTTTATTTTTCTAAAAAAAATAGAGATTGTATTAAATAAATAAAATTAAAATTACATATGAATTCATATTTGTGAACTTTTCAATATTTTTTTTATTCTTCATCTTCTACAGCCCCCGGAGCTTAGGATTTGGCTACTTGGTCATTTAAGTAATTTGATGCAGTTCATTGGGTACTCTATTAGTCCACAGTGGCATGGTTTCAAAAATAGTTACTATTTAAATCACCAAATGTTTATAAATAAATATATAGTATTAAAAATATATACCATATGTCCACCAAATATTTGTTACAACTGTGGCAAATACAGAAGCCTAATCAATCAACTAACTTTGACCAACGGTCAAAGCATGGTTTGACGTCCATGACAACAATCATTTATTCAAAGCAACACGCATGTATTAAAAAAAAAAAGAAAAACATTTAGTCAAAGCAACATTCATTTAAGTGACTAATTCACTGGCATGACTAGAAATTGCAAGAATTTTTACCGCTGTCCTCAACCTCTCAAGTTCCTCATCCTCCTAGCGACCATATCTGCTGTCCTGCTTGTCGAGGATATTCCTCTCTTACCAAAGATGTTTGAACTAAAAGTCAAACCCAAGATCTCAACCAGAAGAGGAAATTGCAACAACACGTAGCATACGATAGGAATACCAGCATGCAGAGTTATAGGAATGACAAACCCCAATCCACCTTTACCTTGTAGCATTATGAAAAGAGCAGCACAAAATGCCATGGTCATTGTTGCAATAGAGACGAAGAGTGAAGTAAGGCCGATAATCAAGAGGAAGGTTTTGCGGTAATCTTCATCAGAATGATGTGAAGTCAAAATCCCCAAAAACATTAACACTGAACTGGATGCAGTAAAAAGAGAAATTGCATCTGATACTATAAATATCAGAAACGGTGTCGGAGTTTTGTGCAGAAGTACGGGAAAACCTGTATTTTCATCATTCCCACCAGGAACAGAAAAAGCCACTGCAAACATAATGGTAATAATAAGAGCACCAACGATTGTTGAAGATTCTACTGTTTTCTTCGTCCATTTTTTCGCTTCTTTTAGCAATTCCTTGTGTTCTCTAACAAACACTTCCAAGGGGGTTTTATTGTGTGTATTTTTGCCTTTTTTGTAGACTCCTGGAACAATTTCTTTTACTGCCTACAATTGTTTCATAATATTATAGATGCTAAGTGAGAAGCTAATAAATAAAATATAGTCTATCATTATATTTATATATATATATATAAAATTTTTGGAGTTAGATAAATAAAAGATTAAAATACAAATAGCTTTTCATTGAATTAAAAATTGAAAAATTGGTATCTATCATTATATTTATATATATATATATATATAAAATTTTTGGAGTTAGATAAATAAAAGATTAAAATACAAATAGCTTTTCATTGAATTAAAAATTGAAAAATTGGTAAGATTAGTTATCTTAATTGAAATAAATCTATCTTCATTGACGAGAGTCTCAACAAATAAGATATAATTTTATGTATCATTCTCTCTTATTATTTATTTAAAATTTTTTATATTAATTATATTTATTATTTAATAATAT